CCCCACGAAGTACATGCGCCCGCAGGAGACGTGGGGACGCATGCCTGTGAAGATCTTGTGCGGAGACTTCTACCAGTTGCCGCCAGTCCCCGCCACCGCTTCCCTGCTGGCGCCTCACGCGGGCCAATCCTACGAACACCAACAGGGTAGGAAGTTGCTCGCCGACATCGAGTACGTCATCGATTTCGTGCAGATGCAGCGCTTTACAGACCCGTTGCAACTCGAGGTTCTCCACGCCATGAGAACTCCAGGCGGAAAAAAGATCTCTGACGAGAGCTGGCAGGCGATCGTCAAAACAGAGGTCGTTAGCTCTAGCGGTGCGCTCAGCCTGCTGCCAGCAGCAGCCAAGCCGCTCAGCCACCTCAGTGGGACCCTCGGTTGCGTGCAGCACGAGGCTGGTACGAGTCGGCCTATGAGTGGCGCATCGTCTCTTACGCCATGCATGCACAGGCCAAGCTTGATGCGCACGATGCTGGCCAGCTGCTCTTTTACGTCCCAGCAATCGACAGACCAGCTGCGCGCCTCGCGAAGCCTGATTACGACGAGATGCGCGCGGAGCCCAACATCGGCGCTACCGCAAAAATGCCGGGGCTGCTGCCGCTCTTCGTTGGCATGGAGGTCATCCTGACAGAATCCGTCTTGCCGCCGAAGTATGTCCGTGGCGCGCCAGGCAAAGTGGTAGGCATAGAGCTGCACGCTCTGGAGCCTCCGGTGGAGGGCCGCCCGTCCATTGTCTCGGACGGCGTGGTCGTACTCTACTACATGCCAAAGGCCGTCTATGTCAAGATCGATGACAGCGATGAACTTTTCTTGAAGGCCGCGCCGGTGACAGCTGGCAGTGCTTCTCAGCCTGCCGGCCCCGACCTGCGCGGAGTGCTCGCGATCACCCCGCAGGCGCGCCCCTGGAAGTTCAAAGCGAAGACAGGTGGCCCGGCCATCGCGGTGTCCAGGACGCAGTTGACCGTGCTGCCCAAAAAGCAGGGGACTCTGCATGGCGTCCAGGGCAAGACGACGGACCCAGGCTTCATCGTGCACTGGACGTTTCCGCCAGGACTCAAGAAGGAGTCCATTTGGCTTGCCTACTACGTCAGCCTGTCGCGCCCCAGAAGCTTCAACCAACTCTTGAGCCACGGCTTGCCTGACCGGAACATCATCGAATCCGGCCCCCCGGAACAGATCGCCAAGGCCTTTGCCGAGCTCTTCACGGACAAGATTGCCGCGACGAAGATCGCTTGCGCGAAGGCCCGACAGCAACTGGGATGGCCTGCGCGAGCTTGAGGAGTCATGAGATGCAGGTTGCGTTGTGGCGGTCCTGTTCAGTCTGTCCGTCTGCATTCGCGTGGTGCTTCTCAGCCTGCATGCGCGTGGTGCTTCTCAGCCTGCGCTCGTGTGCAGCTGTGCGCGGTGAGCCTGCACGTGTCGCGGACACGTTCTGGATCAGGACGGGGGGGTCCGAGCCCGAGATGGAATGTTAGCGCTCTGCAGTACAAGTGCTTTTCAGCATGCGACATCCTGCGGTGCTTCTCAGCCTGCAGGGTTCCTTTTCAGTATGCGAGTTCCTGGGGTGAGCTCCGTAGCTCCGTTCCGTAAACATCTTCCTAGAGCCGTTCGCAAGCTTTTGCAGCTGGCGGTCTGCAGACGTAGTCTGTCTCAGCATGCGAGGTCCCGCACGCTTCGCCGGCTTTTGCTGCGCGGACAATTTTCTCACACACGTCAGCGCCGTTTGTAGGCGTCAGAAAAACATGTAGACATTCACGAAGGGCTCAGTCTCTATATCGTCACATCATTACATACGCAGTCGTCGAACACATCGGTGTACATTCAGCGCTTTGTCCTTCTAGCTAGGTCGCTTCGTGCTGAGGCTGAGGCTGATGCAGGCTGAGGGAATGCTGCCAGATATGCTCCTACACATGGCTGTTAGGTTGCTTTGCCGGGATAATTAGAATGGATAATCAAGTGGTGCAAGCTATGCTGTGTAGGCTGTGTGATGCAAGCTATTTGGTGCAAGCTGTGTGGTGCAAGCTATGTGGCGCAAGCTGTATGGCTTGTATGAGGCGCCCACGACTCGGCACAGGGCAAAGAACCCACAAATCCCAGGCAGCGCACGGGGTCCCACATCGCGCACGGCCAGGCACCGATCAGAACCTTTGCGTTGCTTTGGGGAAACAGCTGCAGTCGACTCGCATAGCAAGGATGAGCAACTGTCAAAGGTTGCCCCTGCAGCCTTCCCCTTCGGCCCATCCTCTGCCGCTTATCCTTACCGTGCGTCCCTATTATATGGGTTGACTGTAGACGGGAGGTGTTTGGTTCTTATTACCTAACAGCGAAGACTGATAGGTTTCTAGTGGGGTAAAAAGAGCTCACAGATCACTCCACAGGGGGGTCCGGGCAGGCGTTGGGAGTTGCCGGGCGGCAGGGGGCCCCGCTCGTTTTTCACCAACAGTCACACACTTCGTGCTCTTCGACTTCCCAGAACTCCATTCCCAGGCCACATTCTGGAGGGCCGGATGCAACAGTCACACACTTCGTGCTCTTCGAGATCCCAGAACGCCATTCCCGGGCCACCTTTAGAATAACCGGATGCAACAGTCACACACTTCGTGCTCTTCGAGTTCCCAGAACGCCATTCCCGGGCCACATTTAGAATAACCGGATGCAACAGTCACACACTTCGTGCTCTTCGAGTTCCCACAACGCCATTCCCGGGCCACATTTAGAATAACCGGATGCAACAGTCACACACTGCGTGCTCTTCGAGATCCCAGAACGCCATTCCCGGGCCACATTTAGAATAACCGGATGCAACAGTCACACACTTCGTGCTCTTCGAGTTCCCAGAACGCCATTCCCGGGCCATAGCAGAGTGTCGTTTGGATACGCATCCATTCAAGTTCCCAGCGTTGATAGCAGTGTCTCGTCTGGACGGACATCCATTCAAGGTCGGTGCGTTGATAGCAGTGTCTCGTTTGGAGAAACATACTTTCAAGCTCCATGCGTTGATAGCAATGTCTCCTTTGAACAAGCATCCATTCATTTTCCACGCGTTGATAGCAGTGTCTCGTTTGGACATATATCTATTACAGTTCCGTGCGTTGATAGCAGTGTCTCGTTTATACATGTAGTCATTCAAGCGACATGCGTCCATGGCAGTACCTTGTTTGACAACACATGGAATCAATCTCAGCGCGACGATGACAACAGCTTTTGCATCACTATTACTGTTACTGTTGGTCTCACAGTGCCTCTCACTGCTGCTGCATGTTTCAGTTATACTTAGACACATCGCTGTTAGGTTGCTTTGCCGGGATAATTGGTTTTCACGACGCTCGCGGGAACGTCAAGAACGCTTTCTGGGGATTCTCGTGGGCGTCTTGGCTGTGTACTTTGATTGAGCCCGCAGAGCGGGAGTCACGGCGGGCCCCCCACAGGGGACAGAAGTTTGCCCGCAGATTTGCAATCACTGGGTGTGAGGGATACTGCCTCGACGAGGGTCGGTAGCGATCGTTGCAATGTTTTTCGGGGCCGTGTTGGCGTCCCGCAGGGGGGTCGGACGGCTTCTTGGGTGTCCCAGATGAGTATGGGACACGCAATGCTTGAGGGGTGTGCAGAGTTGAGGCTTTCGTAGCCCTGCGAGGGCAATTCACTCGCATGTTTACGTGTCCCGGGGTAGTGTCAGACAGGAGGTGTGTGAGGGGTGCGCCGACGCGAGAGCTCTGTAGCCCTCGGGGCGCGGAACACACGTACGTTACAGCGCCCCAGGAGCTGTGATGTAGCCCTGCCCTGCGGAATGCGCGAAGCCCTTCTTAGAATGCCGTACGCATGCCGTCTCATCTTCCAGCATCATCATCATCATCATCAGCAGCAGCAGCATCATCATCATCACCATCATCATCAGCATCAGCGGCATCATCATCATCATCATCATCATCATCATCATCATCATCATCATCATTATCATCATCAACACTATCATCATCAGCATCATCATCATCACCATCATCATCACTTTCATCACCATCATCATCATCATCGTCATCAGCAGCATCATCATAATCATCATCACCATCATCACCATCATCACCATCATCACCATCATCATCATCGTCATCACCATCATCATCATCTTCATCATCATCGTCATCATCGTCTGCCATCGAAGTCTACAGGGCCGCCAGGACCCGCAGTAGGCCTGACGAATTCAGGTGCTTCGCTCACTCCGCCAGCCCACGCTGCAGTGCCGCTGGACTGGGGACTGGAAGCTGTTGGGCTGTGGTAGTTTCCCCACGTTTTCGTGCGAAACTCGCGCTGGCGGAAGCAGTCGCTTGGCAGACGGAGGGAAACCCATCCCTCCACCGTGCCCGGGTTGTGGGTCAGAGGCCTCCCGGATGCATGTGAGGGTCTTTTGGGATGCTTTTCGGGGGGGCTCTTGGAGGGGTCTTTGGGGCCTGTCTTGGAGGCCTCGTGTGATCCTCCTGGGAAGCTTCTTGGGAGCCTCTTGGGCCTCTGGGGAGCCTCCCTCGGGCTTCCTCGGGGCCTCCTGTTGATCTCCTGGGGGCCTCCTTGGGGCGTCTTGGGGGGTGGTTCTTGAGTGCTTGCTGGTGGTCCTGGGGGCCGTCTTTGGGCGGAGGGCTGGAAATCTATCTTCGTTTTACCCTTCTTGGGTCCGTCTTGGAGCCCTTTTGGACCGTCTTGGGAGGCTCTTGGGCTGTCTAGAGGAACATTTTGGGTGCATCGCGTAGGCACGCAGCACAGGAACCATAAGTCGCCGTGCCCCGACGCTATGGGCACACCTTCTTGTCAACTTGTCATGGTGTTGTGCAGCGTAGGCAGTCATGGATTGCTTCCCAAAGATGGCAGCGATCTCCAGATCAAGCCTGGGCACCCCAACGGGAGCGCATTGACGTTCCCCTCAGCGTAGGGAGCAGCTTGACTCAAACAGTAAGAGATGCATGCCGAACATGTTCATTTCGATATCACTGCCATTTGCTAGTCATTTGAGTCAACATCTCAAGCGCAAGCTTTACTCCACGATTTTGCTGAAACATCTCTTCTTCATCGTTTTTGCTTCCTTGTCCTCCTCGTCGCCTTCCTCAGTCTCCTGTCCACCCTCCCGCAATGAAGTTGGCCCGAGTCTCGAGCTCGAGCATTGGTTTTGTGTTGTCTGCCGAGCACATCATTCGCACGAGCTGGCCCTCCGCTCTCGAGCTCAAGCGGATGAAGAGAAGCACGACTGGAGCGTTATTCATCTTCGCCCTCCTGGCGGCTAGATGGGCCCCCCTCTGCAGCGCAGAGCGGGCTGCTGTGCAGGTGCAGCTTGGCGGCGCGGCGAGCATTATCGAGACGGAGCTGCGAGATCACGTGGACGAAGCCGGACGACTCTCGGGCGCAGCAGCAAGGACTGGCGCGACAGATGCCCAAGGTTCGGGGAAACGTAAGACTCGAGTAAGGCGGAACTCGGGTTTGCCATCGTTTTTTGACGAGCGCGTCCTGGATTTTGACGGTCCAGTTTCCGAGGGATATTTGCAGCGGGAGCTCGCGTCAAATTTCAGATTGTGTCTTGTCATTTTTGTGATGGCCTCGTCAGGCCAACCCGAAATCCCCCGCACCCGAGTCCTACGTCTCTCCGAGAGGTTCGGGCCAGCTCGCGGATCTGACCGCGGCGCTGCTTCCGCTCGCGGGTGGTGGCATGGAAGCCGCGTTCGCTCCACTCGCGGCCAGCATGGGCTCCGTCTCGGCAAGCCTGGGCACGCTGACGGGGACCGTCGCTCCGCTCGCCGCGGCGGCGCAGCCCATGCTGGTGGCCGCGACGGCCCTCCTCCAGTTTATTCCGCACGTGATGGTGGCAAGCCTCGTCGTCTACGCCGTCTTCAAGTGCGTGAAGGCACCGGGGAACCGTAAGACTCGAGCAAGCCGGAACTCGGGTTTGCCCATGCTTTTTGCCGAGCGCGCCCTGGTTTTTGACGGTTCAGTTTTCGTGGGATGTTCGCAGCGAGAGCTCGCGTCAAATTTCGGATTTGGTCTCGTCATTTTTTATTTTGGCCCCGTCAGGCCAACCCAAGCCCCCCGCACCCGAGTCTTGGAGCCTGTTTCTTTATTGCTTGAGGCATGACGGGCGTCATGGCCCCCGCTCCCCCACCTCCCTATGACGTAACGCTCCCCCCCCCCAGTGCGCTCCGGGCACTGCCGCCGTGCGCATTGGGATCCGCGTAGGTGTCCGCGCAGGAATCCGCGTAGGAGTCTGGTCCGCAGTCGTCGTCGTCGTCGTCGTCGTCGTCGTCGTCGTCGTCCTCGTCGTCGTCGTCGTCGTCGTCGTCGTCGTCGTCGTCGTCGTCGTCGTCGCTCGTGGCTTGTCGCTCATCGCCGTGCGCGCGGACGCGGCTGGAGCCTGTATTTTATTCCGGGCCGATGACGGCAATCATCTGGGGGGGGTGGAGGGGGTTGATGACGTCACGTTTCGCGGCGGCGGCGTTTGGAAATGCCTAAGTATGAAGGACGACGGGTAGCACCGGCATGTAGGTGGCGATCTGCACCACAACGCCTGTGTACACCACAGTACCTGCGTGCACCACAGCGCCTGTGTACACCACACCGCCTATGTACACCACAGCAGCAACGTGCAACACGTCGTCAGTTTGTGCCACCGTGCCTGCGGGCACAACAGCTCTTGTCTACACCACGTCGCCTGCGTACACCACATCAGCCGTGTGCAACGCAGCACCAGTGTACACCACAATGCCTGCGTGCATTGCAATGCCTGTGTACACCACGGCGCCCGTGTGCACCACAGCAACCGTGTGCAACACAGCACCACTGTTGTATATAATGTTAGAGAAGGAATATGTGTGACAACATGGGGCGCTTGTGAATTTCACAGAGGACAATAGAAAGGAAGCCTTATAGTCAAAACAGCACAAAGGAACGCCGCTGGAATCTACGAGTCTTCCCGAGTCCGTCCGCATCACCCTAACTCATCCCATTTGCGTCCAGGAGGCTCCAGTTAAATTGGCCGTCCGAGAACCAAGTGGACCGGTTCAAACAACCATTTTGCGGTGCACGCTGAGATGCGCACGTGCGCTGTAGCGCCGAGCTGCACGACAGGAGGTAAGGAGGAGGAGGAGGAGGTAGAGGTGGAGAAGGAGGGAGGAGGGAAAAACGTCGCATTTGATTATCATCATTTTTCTGGCGTGGCGTTTAGTTGTCTGCAGCAGATCCTCACGTACATGCTCCTTGGACTTGTCCTGTGCACCCATTGACTGTGGTGTACACCAGCGTTGCTTGCACGCGGATGCTGTGGTGTAGACAAGCGCTGTGGCGTGCACAGGCGCTGCGGTACACGCAAGCATTATGGTGTACAGAAGCATTGTTTTGCACATGATTGTTGCGGTGTGCACATGTACACCGGCGCTGTAGTGTACGCAAGCACTGTGGTGTACACAGGCGCTGCGTTGCCCACGGTTGTTGCGGTGTACGAAGGCGTCGTGGTGTACATGCGCGCTGTGGTGCACCCGAGCGTTGTGGTGTACGAAAGCGCAGTGGGGCAGATCGCCACCTACATGCGTCGTCGTCGTCGTCGTCGTCGTCGTCGTCGTCGTCGTCGTCGCTCGTCGCTCGTCGCTCGTCGCGTCGTGCGCGCGGGCGCGGCAGAAGCCACACGGGGGGGGGGGGGGGGCGTTACGTCATACCCCCCACCGCCCCCCCCCGCCCCCCCCCCATGACGCCCGTCATCGCCGAACATCAAGAAACGCGCTCTACGTCTCCCCGAAGGCAGTCCAAGGCTCCAAGCATTCCAAGGTCATGGGGCGTGGCCTGCAGAACGTCCAGGACGCCATCGAGAAGGGGATGCAGGCGATGACTAAGGAGCTCGGCGACATCAAGAAGCTTCTCGGGGAGCAGACCGACATGATGCAGTTCACGCCGCTCAACGACGCCGTGGAGCAGATCGACCTCGCGTGGAGTTCCATCGATTACTGCCAGGGCTTAAAAATGTCGACCCCAGACGGGGTGTGCACGCTGCCCCCTTATTGCGCCCCGTCGGGCATTGTGGACGCACAGACGCGGAAGCAGATCGCCACGGCCATGCTACGCCTGGACAAGATGCTGAGGGGCGAGTTCAGTGGAGCAGTTCGGGTCCGAACAGTTGATCTGACCGAGAGGGTGCTCAGGCAGGCGGTGCAGTCGCGCATGAACCGGGAGAGCCTCGCAGATCTGGCCTGGTCCTACTGGTTTCAAATGATGACGTTGCAGGTGAAGGGTGCTTTGGTGCTGGCGCACACCTCGGACAGCGAGCTGTACCGCTGCGGCCGCGTGTTTACCGAGCTGGCGGAGAGGCTCGAGCTCCAGATAAACCACGTGGAGGACGTTCTGCAAAGCGTAGCCTCGGAGGGCTTCTTCCTGCGCTGGAAGCCGGGCGGCGCATGCGTGCGGGCATCGGTCGATCCATCCTGGTACAAGCGGGCTTGGGGCGGAGACTGGAGCGAGCTGGAGGCGACTGGAGACTGCGTCGACAATACCAACCTTGCGCTCAGCCTCATCCCGAGGTCGGCGGATGGGAACCTTTCTGCCAATGCCAGCTTCCTCCTCGTCAGCAAGAGGCTCGGGCGCAGCGTCGCGTCTAGGGCCAAGCGTGACCGCCTCTTTTTGGGCGACTGGCTTGGGAGCGTTGACGACCAGGCTAGCACATCTGGCACGCCATACATTATGCTGCGCAACTCGCCCCTGGAGAGAAAGCTCAAGCCAGGCTCGCAGAAGGTGCGCGCTCTTCACGCGGGCTCCGTAGTGAACGTGACGATGCTTCAGACGATTGGCTCGAAGAAGCACAAGCTCCTGCGCGGGTTCGTGCGCGAGCCTTTCGAAGGATGGATCGATATCCTGGACACCACCTCGGGGGAGCGCTCGGCGAGGATGGTCAAGACCGACGTCGCCGCGAAAAGCCGTAGCAGCCAGCTGGCCCGCGCGCTGAAGGAGGTTTGGATCCCGCAACGCAGCACTTGCGACGCCTTTCTGGCCGAATTTGGATGCGATAACGCTGGGAGCACGAACGAGTCCGCCATGACCATGGATCGGGCGTTCGACGACGTGCTCACTGGTGTGGCCTCTTGGTCTTACAGTGTCGGCTCTGCCAGGTCCGACGATGACGAGGACAGCGTGTACATCGACATTGTTCCCACAGGCTTCGGCCAGGGGGAATTCCACATGGAGACTGCAGCGGACAGGCGCTGTGTCTATGTCGACAAGGGGAATCGCAACATCCGGCTAGGACAGGGCACCTGCGAGGAGGAGAAGCTCAAACAGAAGTTGGACAACCTCATCTTCGATTTCGTGCCAGCGAACCTTCTCCAAACGCCATGATTCCACTCCTCCATGGGCCGGCCCTGGTAGCCGCGGCGGGCGGCAATGTGCCGCCAGTCGGCCCGTCCCCCTCCTGTTCGCGCGCCCTGTGCTCGCTCGCCCTGGATGAGGTTGCAACTGTTGGGAGCTTGAATTCAGCATCGGCGCGGGTATATCCTCGGTCGAGATACAGCCGAATACGGCCTAATCCGGCTTCGTCTAGCTTGGATCCCTGTGCATGCGGGTCCTATCTGGGAGTGATCCAGCCCAATCGCCCGTCAACCCGGTCGCACCCGGCCCAGTCTCGCCCACGAGCACTTCTCAGGAGCTGCCACCTAATCCCCAGATCCATTCAAGCGGTCCTCGCAGCGGCTGCCCGGCCCGGAAGCGGCTGCCCCTCCTCGTCCTCCTCCCTCTCCTCCTCCTCCTCCTCCTCCTCCTCCTCCTCCTCCTCCTCCTCCTCCTCCTTCCGTTGCCATTTTGGCTCAAGGTGGGGACAGGCCCCATTTGAGTGAGGCAGCCTCTTATCCGAGGCCATCCTGGAGTCAAATCCAGGCGGACACTTCCCCCGCTGGCGTGCTCGTGCCCGAGCCGTCGGCCTTCCCTCACCGCTCGCCGCAATGCCTGAAGTTGGCGAGGGTATCGCGCAGATCCTCGAGCAGCTCGGAGGGATCACAGGACGATTGACCAGCATCGAATCCGCGCTCCCTGGCATCCACGAGCTTCGCGTCTCGCTCTCAGCCCAGGAGTCCGCCATGCAAGGCATCAACAAGCGCATCGGTGTGCTCGAGGCGAACATGCGTGCTTCGTCTGAGGCTGGTGCTCTCGCTGCCCTTCGCACCGATCTTGAGAGCCGCATTGCTGCTATTGAGACATCATCGACGCAGAGCTCAGCAGGGGATTCCTCGTTAGGTCCACCCGTTTCGCGTCGGAGGTTGTCGGCACCACCGAGTCATGTTAATTCGCGTGTGGGAGATGAGCATGGTCCGTGCAAGGTGTGGATTGGCGGCTTCACGCGACCAATGCTGGCGACCACCATGGAGGCGCACGGTCGCACACTACTCGGTCATCTTCCGTCACACACCCGACAGGCTGGCGTGAGCATCGAAGCCCACAACCTCGCCAAGAGCTACTCTATCACGTTCAACAGCTCGCTCGACGCCTCCTCGTTCGTCGACCACGGCAGGGCCCACGGCATCCTGTGGCAGGACAGCGCGTTTGGCTCCCACATCCCCCTTCCCCTGCAGGAAGGACGCACCAAGCTCGGTCAGGCAGAAGAACCAAGTCCTAGGCAAGATTTGGCAGGCAGTCAACACCCACCTGCGACAAGCAGGCACATGGAACGAGCAGCGTTTCAAATTCGGAGTCAACGGCTTCAGGGGCATCCTCTTCATCGCCGTCGGTGAGGTCGTGCATGAGTTGTTCACGGTCAAAGAGGGGGACTACGGCCAGTACGAGATTATTCACTCCCCCGACGGCACCGCCCAGTTCAACATCTCGCCTGAGCAGGCGGGCTCCATCATAGCGACAGCGCGTGCCGGCTAGGGGTGTCCCACGCCGTTTCGATCAGGGTCTACGTATTCGTCAGGGGCGCCTGGTATGAGGGTTCCATACCAGCCATGCATTTCCACTTTTGTGTCGAGCTCTTCCTCTTCCGCGTCTTCTGGCTCTTCCTCCTCCTCGTCCTGGTCTTCCGCGCCGTCTGGGCCCTTGAGGTTCCCGTCTTCGGCTGGGCCTGAGTCTTTCCGTTTCCGCCCTATTCCTGGATCCTGGACACACTCACCATACATAGTCAAGGCACATATCAGTTTTGTATCCTGGAACGCTCGGTCGCTCTTCGGGGGGCTCACTACATGTCTGGATACCGTCAGAAGGAAAATGTCACGCCCCGTAACCTACATCCAGAAATACCATGTCGTGTGCATCCAGGAGGCCAGGGGCTCTTTTCTTGACCTTCAGAGAGTCTGCTCAGAAGTTTACGACTCACGGGGTATTGGGTCGTTCTTCGAGGACAGGGCTGCTGGAGGCGTAATTATTTTTATGCATCCGTCGCTCCGCGACGAGTTCAAGTACTGCCGATACGCCGAATTAGTCCAGGGTCGCATCCATTCTCTCACTCTTGCTGGTCCCAGAGGCACTCTCCAAATCTCTAACATCCATCTTGATCCTGCTCTCCCTCTCAGCGAACAGAAACGTCATCTCATGGTTCTTCGTCGTACTCTCCTTCCCGCCCAAGCTGCTGCAAGTTTTGTGCTCGGGGACTTCAATTTCCCCAGTCAAGGCGAAGGCTCGTTTCACGTCAGTGGTGTTGTCAACTATTCCAGCAATGATGCTGCTGCTTTCTTCTCCCAGCACAACGGTGACTTGTGTGAAGTCGAACAGACGCCCTTCACGCACAGGGCCACTCAGGAGGTCGAGGGTGTTCAGAAGATCGTGAGCATGAGCCGTATCGACAGAATATACACAGACATATTCAGCGCTATCCTCCTCGAGCTCCACCCCAAGTCTCTCACCCTCGTGCCGATCCCGAAAGTAGGTCAGCTTTCTGATCGCGCACCGGTGTGTCTCACATTATCCCCGGGCGGCAAGATGGGCTTCAGAGTTCCTGCATGGGCCCCCAAGCACGCGCACTTCCCGATTTGCGTTCAGGAACTGCTCGACGCTGTTGGCCCGCTCGACATCGACCCCACCATGCACCGCACTCAGATGAAGGATATCCTAGTTCAGGCGAGTAAGAACGTCCTCCATCATTGCATCGAGCAGGCCAACAATTCCGTCGAGGAAAAGATTGCTTGGTCTCTCGCAGCCCTGCGAGGCACTCTGCGAGGTCTTTTGTGGCTAGTCGGCAAGGCCCTGCGAGCGCGCCCGCTGCTCGCCAAGTTTCTCTGCCCGCAGTCTGGCCTTTGGATAGATATGCGAGCGTTTCACTCTCACCTGACTGATCTCAAGAATGAGTACATCCAGAAGCAGATGAGTGATGTTGAGCAGCAGCCGATTTCCGATCAGCGCAAGCAAGAAGCCAAGATAAAACTTTACAGATATCAGTCGGCGTGGGGGTGGAAGCACCGCAGGATTTCTCTTGCTGGCGTGTCCGACCCGACTGGCAAGGCCACAACCGAGCCAGAGCAGGTAGCGATGCATCTTGCCGACCACTGGGGCAAGGTTCATCAAGGTATTCCTGGATCTGTCGAGGACCGACAACAGCTGCAGGAGTTTGTCCAGACCTGCCCCCCCCCCAAACATCTTCTGGAAGCTGGGGCGTCTGGAATTTGGGGAGTTGATTTCTCGTGCTGGGGATTCGTGTCCTGGGCCCGACAGCATACCATATGCCTGCTATGCAAGAGGGGGTGCAGCAGTTGTCGACTCCTTGCACGCTCTTTACTCCGTCCTGCTCGAGCAGGGCTACCTTCCGCCGAAGTTTAATAGGGGCATGGCCGTTTTCCTTGCCAAGGGCAGCGGCCCAGATGACACCTCCTCCCAGATCATACGTAAGCCTGAAACTACTAGACCTATTACCCTCTCCAACTCTGACAACAAGGGCATCTCCCTTGCCATCAATAGATCTCTTTCCCAGATTGCCCCCCAAACTGTACTTGCTAACCAGCGGGGGGTTATTCCTGGGAGATACATGAATGAAAACATCATCGACCTCGAGAGTCGGGCAGTTATGTGGCATGCTAAGACTGGGCACGCGCATGCTGGTATGCTATACTATGACGTGCTGTCCGCTTTCCCCAGCCTCTTGCATGATATGATATTTTGGGTCTTAACCTGTATGGGACTCCCGTCTAACATCTTTAGGTGTATTCAGGCCCTGTACACGGACGTCACCATCGAAATCAATTTCTGCGGGCTCCACGGGCACTCCTGCCTGGCTTCTCGTGGGATCAAGCAGGGCTGCCCTCTTTCAGGAACTATCTTTTGCATCGTCTTCGATCCGATTGTACGCTACATGTTTGCGAGGATCCCTAGTGGCCTGTCTTGGTTGACCGCATTTGCAGACGACGTCGGCGTCGCTGCCGCGAACATCATCAGGACCTTTAAAGCTCTGGTTCCGTGCTGGCATCTCGCTGGCGCTGCTGCTGGTCTGCGTATACATCTCTCTAAGACGATTCTCGTGACCCTCGGCAGCCTCAGCGTCGCCGAATGCCAGCAGCTCATGCGCGAAATCGGAGTTTGCCCAGGTAACCTCAATTTCGAGCGTCTTGGGAAGTACTTAGGGATATTCCTTGGGAGCGGTGGGTGGAATCTCTCTTGGCTCGCCCCATCCAGCAAGTGCATTTCGATGGCTCAGGATGTTAAACGTCTCGGCCTCGGCCTCTGCAAGTCCATCGTGTGTATTAACCTTCTCTCCTTCTCGGTCCTCTCGCATGTGATGCAGTTTTGCCCGCCTCCGAAAGCTGCGTTCACGGCCGTGAGAAAAGCCCAGCAGAGTCTGACGAACGCCCCGAACAATAGCCTGTCCCAGGGAATCCCCCAGAATCTCAGAGAGTGGGGATTCCCAATGCAGGCCGGAGCTCTGGCGCCAGCTGCGCGTGCAGCCATGCATCGCACTGCAGTCGTGTCCGCGGCGTTCGACCACGCCAAAACAGTCATCGAGAGCGACGATGATGATTGTCTATTGTGTTGGCAGCGGAATACTGTGTATCAGGAGTCCTCCATCTTCCATCTCATATCCAACTACAACACCCTGTCTCAGATCCCGACCATGCCTGTCTTCGGAGTTTCCAGATTCCAGAGTCGATCTGAGTCCGCCCTGAGAGCCCTTTCTCCCTTCCCCCTCCGCTCTGTCCTTTGCGATCGTCTGAGCAAATTTGGCGCGATTCCCACTCCCGACCAGCTTGGCCTCTTGTCTGTTGCTTTGAAGCGCGTCTCTCGTCTAGCTCCCACTTGTGTGTCCAGCAGTGTCGTCCGCACTATATGTAATGCCTGGTGCACCACCCGCCGATTTCGAGGTGCCACCGAGCCGTGTCGATTCTGCCACCAAGCCAGTGCAGATAGTATGCTCCACACTTTAGTTTGTGCGTGCACGTCCCATGTCCTGTCCCTGCTTCCTAATCTCCCCCCCGACTTCCGTACTCATACAGCGGGTGCGCGTGCGTCGGTGTTCAGCCTTTTACCTCTCTGTGATTTGCAGCTCCTCTCTGTCGCCTTGTACCTTGATACCTGTTGCACAGCGTATCATGAATTAAAACACTGGCCTCGGACGAGCCCGCTCGGTGAGCGGGCTCGGCTTCTCAACTTCGGCGTGGCGCGCATCCGCCAACTGCGCAGGCGGGCCCCGCCTCTTTTCTCTG